GCGAATTCAGGGGAAGATTATATGGGGCTGTGTTTTCTATCTTGGAGACAGAGGTGCCCGTGGGACATCTTCAGCATCAAGTCCACTGATGGTTGTTTATCAGTGTCCTTGCCAGGTCCCACATTATGGGAAGCAAAGGGACTTACACCGTAGGCGCTACCTATCTACTGAACGAATTATGACATCGACTTTAAACAACTCACTGAATCCCCAGCTCTAATTCCTTAACACCACCCAGATTCTTACTGAACAAGGGTGTGAGTTCCCTTTTCTCAAGGGAAAAAATTGGATTTTGGAGCCAGCTAGACTTGGCTCTGTTCCTTTTTTCCCCAGCAATGTGGCCTCGGACAAACGAATCTCCTCTTTGAGCCTTAGTTTTCTCGTGTACTAATAAGGCATCCTGTTATTCCCTCACTCACTGATTCACTCAGGCCCTCCTGCCCTCTGGAGCTCACATTATTTTTTTTGGCAGGGGGCAGGGGGCAGATAGAGCAGTCAACAAGAAATAAAATACATAGGCAGACTATGCCACCTATATTTTGTTGTGAAGCTAAAAAGTGCTATGGAAAAAGGAAAAGAAGAGTAAGGGCTGGGTCAGTGTGTAGTGGCTGTGGCTGGTCAGGGAACGCATCACGATTAAATAGTTACTACGTAGTGAGCCACATCCCAGGGGGAGATTTGTAGAAAGGCTGAAGGATGTGAGGGAGTGAATACCTGTCTGGGGAAAAATGTTCTAGGTAGAAGATAAAGCTCTGAGGCAGAAATATGGCTGGCAGCATTTGAGAAATAGCAAAGAGGGAGTGTAGTTCAAGTGGAGTGAGCAAAGGGGAGACTGGAAGAAGACAGCCTCGAAGTGCTATGGTATTACATAAAGAAGGAAAGAAGGAAATGAACTGTTACTGGGTGCCAAATATGTGCCAGCAACTAAGCTTGACATATATATTGGCCATTTAATCCTTGCAATAAACCTCGCAAAACAGGTATTACGATCCACCCTCCTTCCACACACAAACAAACTAAAGGACAGAGGCAAAACGTGACTTACCCATGATGCACAGCTAGCAAGTGGTCCAGTGGATTTGTTCCTAGGAACAGGCACTACTTGCCACCTATCTGTCAAGGTCATGACTATTCCATAAAATTCCCGGAACTGTTGGTGAGCAAATTCAGTGCGCAAATAGACCAGGGAGCAGATGTGGACTAAACTGGAAGGGTTGCCGCCCGAGGCCCAGGCATCTTGAGGATGTCCTAGACCTTCAGGGGGAAGAGTCTCAAGAGACATGGCCTGCTTAAGTCAACAACAGTGTGGACCTAGAATGGTTAAAAAAAAAAAAAAAAAAAGGACCGGCCCTCCCTGGTGGC